AGCGCTACAGCTGCAAAAAAGAGGAAGATGGCTAAGGAGAAGATTGTTACTCATGTTAATGCTTAGGTTCATAAGAAGTGGACTATGGCAGGCTGTTTTTACATTTATTAAATACTAAAATAAGATTTTTCCTGATCAAAATCCCACACCTAGACTGAACTATAATATATTTAATAAATTATTGCAGCAGAAACTGAATTTCAGAGAATATAATTGTACTGGTAAGAATTAAGTTTAATATACCTAGAAATGTTTACACATTTTAAGTAGACAGCGTGACTTAATATGTATTTGATATCTGAAATATATTTCTTCAAATGCTGACCACTAACAATAGGAATATGGAGAACTGAAATAGATTTCTATACATCCAGAACGTCATTTTGTTTGAAATGGTCATTTTTACAAGGAAAACATTTTTTCTTCAAACACCAGGAATGCATATCAAACGGCTTGCCATAGCCTGTTGTCACCCCGATAGCATAACTGGTTTATTTCTTGAATGCTAGTAGATTAATGTATCTATTTAGGTGAAATCATCTGGCAGCAGGTGAAGATGAAGGGGAAACAAAGGCTGTTCTAAAACTTTTCATGGGTTCTCAGTTTGATTCTGTCTTCCAAAACTAAGATGCTTTTTGCAGATGCAAAAAGGACACTCCGGGTTTACTGAAGAAAACCTGCTACCGACCAGGTTAGCTCTGGGGAGAATGTTACTACGGTAACTGAAACAGAGGTTGAGGAAACTCAAAAAAATGTCAGTTTCCCTGATTTCAGTTTTAGAAAACTTTGTTTCTGTGAACCTCCTGTGTGAAACGACGCCAGGCAAAAAGCCCACTTTGGTGTCACACCAAATGGTACAGTGCACCTCAGTCTGACTGCGGAACAACTAGAAAGTTAAGCACCTTAAATGTAATGTGTGACCACGATCTGATGCAAGAATACTTTTTACAGATTAAATATGTGGGAAGACATGTGGAACTAGACTTCTTTGTTCTTGTGCATCAATATTTTTCATGTTAAAGCTTGTTTCTATCATCTTATCAGCCATGATTCTCATGGTACATGTGGGTCTGTGTTGATTCTTGGCAGGTAAACTCCCATTTATGCGTCATTAGGACTTTAGGCAGACTACGTTTCAGTTTTGAAATTATTATTCCATTCTTAAAAGACAATTTCTCAGGTTATTAGGGTGTATTTTTCAACTTCCTTTGATTTTAAACCTTCTGATGATGCAGAAATCAAGTTCCACTACAGAAAGACTAAGATTGACAAGAATAAGCTTTGGTTGTAACTACAGGAAAATCATCCCAGCTTCTGTTTATAGATGCTTCTTCAGATTCTGATCTCAGGGGCTTTACAGCTTTTGAAAGAAAGTGGTTTTATCTTTTAAATACAGACAGAGCAGTTTGACCTGCTATTTTCCATCACTGTCATAGTTCATGTGTTTGTTTACACTTCTCTATTTTCAGCATCAGGAAGATTTATCTATTTTTAGGAAAGAGAAGCAGACAAAACTGAAACAGCACATCCTGCCGATCCTAATCATAAACAAGAGAGAAGAGAAGAAAAATGATCAGACATCATTCTGACCCATATCTATCTGTTGGCACCAGTTTATTGAACGTTTGAACTGAACTCGCTCAGTATATCACCACATCACCATCCAGTGCTGGAGCTGTGCCCACTCTGATATAGACAGATGACACATATTAACAGTGATTAATATCTCAAGAGGATTAAATGTCAAGTTCCCTGAAATTACGTGTTTTGAATTGGAGTTTTATAAAAAACAATAGAATTCAATGAAAATAACGTGCATAAGATTTCAAATAAGATGTGCTGAACTTCACATACACTTTTGTTTTTAGTACGTGCAATACGTGGGTGTTGTTCAAATGTTTCATGTGATCTACAAAGATAAAATCTCAAACATTAAGACATCAAAACCCATTTTGTTTCCCCCTATTAAAATAAGCATTCCATGTTTTACAGACAGTTGAAAGCAGCCAAAAAAGTAAGATGGGGTTCTAAGCATGTAGTTGGAGGTAATGATGGTTAGAGATCAGCCTGTTTTTCAGTGTAGTCCTGTTTCTCTGACCGTGACTGGCTGGATGTGCTCTCTTCGTCCTCTGGCATGGGAGCTGGCTTGGAGCTCGTCTGCCTGGCTGTGTGTTTCCTGGACGGGGCCGCCTTTACAGCTGCTTTCTGTATCTCTGCTTCTGTCTCCTTGAACCCCAGTCGGCCTCAGCAGATGGCCGCTCACACTGAGCCTGGTTCTGCTGGAGGTTTCTTCCTGTTAAAAGGGAGTTTTTCCTCTCCACTGTCGCTACAAGCATGCTTAGTGTGAGGGATTGCTGAAGAGTCAATGAGAATCAACTGGTTTTCCTTAGATAGAAAACTTTGAATCAATTTGAATGTATGATCTATTGAGCTGCACAGAGCCTTGAGATGACATGGCACTTTACAGTTGTGAATTGTTGCTATATTTAAACTGAATTGAATTATTCAGAAATATTTAGAAAATAATTATCATAATACATAAAAATATTTATGGATCCATTTAAATAGATAGTCTGTCTCTAAGTGCTATGAACAAAAGCAAACAGCCATCCTTTTTCAAACACTCTTATCTGAAGTGGGGTCGCGAGGGGTGCTGGTTCCTTTCTCCAGCTATCAACGGGGTCCACCCTGGACAGGTCGCCAGTCCATCAAGAGACAAACAACCATTCACACACACTCACACCTAAGGGGACTTTAGAGAAGCCAATTAACCTAGCAGTCATGTTTTTGGACTGTGGGAGGAAGCCAGAGTACCCAGAGAGAACCCACGCATGTTCAGGGAGAACAATCAAACTGAAAGTCCCCATGCCAGGAATCAAACCCAGAACCTTCATGCTGCAAGGTAGCAGTACTACCCACTGTTCCACTGAGCAGCCCAAAAGCAAACAATAAAAGTTAAATAAGAAAAAACATATCATAAAGCATGAGAAAGTTGTTTATTGTGTTTTTGTGTATTGGTGTCATTTATTTATTTGCTGCAGGATTTGTATTTACAGCATGTTTCCACTTTGCTGTTCTTCATTTTTTTTTTCATGTTTGAAGATTTTCTCCTGTTCAGAATTTTCTTTTACAAGTTTCTGTTTTGTTTGTGTGTACTGTAGGTCTCTTTGTTGTGGTTTCTACTCACATTTTGGGTCCACTGTTCTAATTTTTTTTAGCTTTCAGGACCTTTTGAATTTTCTGTAAAATCATGCATCACTCTTCAGCCACCATAAGAATGTATCACAAATGATTCATTAAATTATTAAATGAAAATTTTATTAATTTGATACTTAATAAATAATTAAATACATCATTAAATTACGAAATGCAGAATCACCTGTTCTAAAACCAGCAGGTCAACTCATACATTTCGACTATAGGAACATTTTCATTTAGAAGCAAACCCCAACAAAAAATAATAATTTGTCACAGAGAACTGTTATTCCTCTTTGGAAGACACACTTCATTTGTCTTCTCAGTGCTTCAGTTCATTCATAAGCTTAACATACATTTTTCCTTAAAAAACAATTTCTTTCCACTTAATTCATACAAAATATTCCTCACCATTCCCCATCTTCCTCTCATTCAATCATGTTTTCATTGCCTCATCATCCTCCTTCCCAGCAGCTTACATCACCACTTCCCTTCTCTCTTAGTTCACATTCATTTTTCCTCAGTCCATCTCCTCCAAATACATTGAATACAAACTGTATATAAAACTATACAAATGTGCAGGTTAAAAGGTTCAATATGAACATTAATTTTAAAGACAATCTTTATACTAAAGTAGAAGTCTTTCATTCAAACTTCTTTCAGTCTGTTTACTGGTCAAGAAGGTGTTCCATATAAATAAGAACAGAATTCCCACAAGATCCTGGAAGCTTCCAACACCAAAATTCAAAAGGTGATAAAAGTCAATAAAAAAAAATGCTACTGGTTGGGGCCATCAGTTTGTAGCTGAATGAGTATTTTATGACATCTCTGGATGTCTGTTTCAGGATGTCCCCAGCTGGGTCATCTTAGGTTCAGTCCTGTTCCTGCAGCGTCCCGGCCAGACGGTCCCAGTGTGTGAAATAGGGGGCGTAGTTGCAGTTTGATTTTAGGTGGTGGAGGTCATGGTGGCGTGCACCACCAAACAATCCCAGGGGGATCAGACGGTGTGTAGCCCAAGGCAGATCATAACCGCAGTGGTCCTCCACCGACAGCCAGATGTTTACAATGAAGAAGGTCATCTCTGTGAGGGGGTGGCAGCCCAGCATCAGGGGGTTGGCAGCAGCAAAAAGTCCCAAACTCAGGGTTTCCCAGGCCCCAGAGTACTCTGCTGTGAGGGCTGAGGTGGAGGTGTACGTGTGGTGCAGCTGCAGGAGAAAAAGGGAACAAGGTGAGCATGAGAAGATAAAACTTCATGAAGATAAATCAAAGAATCGCATTCATCTAAACACAATGACACTGAATTTCAAATGATGAAACTTTAGAATCTGAACCAACCTTGTGAAAGTTGCGATACAGCCAGGGCACCTTGTGGTGCAGCAGGTGCCAGCTGAAGCTCTGGAAGTCAAAGAGCAGCAGGCAGACCAGCACCTGAGCCAGCAGGTGATGCAGGGAGGGAGCATCCTGGGGCAGCAGCACTGGCCGCAGGTACCAGTTGAGCACGGTGAGTGGAAAGATGAAGATCACATGGTTGTAGAGGGTCAGAGCCAGGCATCTCTGAACAGTTGCCCAACTGATGGAGCTCTGAGACTGCAGCTTGTATCTGCGCACAAAGTCCCACTTTAAGGATAACAGGTCCAGCAGCAAAAAAGGCAAACAGAACATCAGGTACACTGACAGAGAGAAGAAGACTGGGAAGAAGGGGGAACGCAGGACAGATGAGTATCCTAGAAGAAAACTCCAGACTGGCTGTAGCAGCATGGTTCTGGTTTATTCACGTGTTTCAGTGTCTGATCCCTTCCCTCATTAGAGCAGCCTTTATATATCCTGGCTCCGACTCCTCGCTTACGCGATTCCTACGGGAGTCCTCTGATTTCACCCACATGCCCTTATTTGGACTCTTTCCTGTTTCTGAAGAAGGTGGGGAATTCTCTGGGGGCGGGTTCAATGTAGAGAAAAAATTGGCTGCAGGGACACACTGCAAGTAGCAACATCTGCAATGAGACCACAATTCAGATCATCTCTGTAGAACGTTCTAGTTATGGATTACTAACCAGCATGTGGAACCCATTCATTAGAACTCAGCCCTCTCACTAAGTCTTGTAGTTTCTCTTTACACTGAAGATAAAGTCTTTCTCAGGGAAATGGCTGCAAATTTAAACCTTCTAAATTAAGTGTAAAAGGATTGACCTCAATGTGATTAGATGACTGCAGGGCTCTTTATTAAAGGTAAAGGTAAATTATGAAAGGTATCACTTGATTTGACTTGACTTGATGTTGGAATCAGAATATATCAGATTAGTGACACCAAAATATTAGTTCTATCTACATGTGCATTTGAAATGTGCTTCTTTTCATATTAATGGAAAAGTAATCAGTTTTAGCCTGCGTCTGACGTAATAACATTCCCCTAAAAGCAATGATCCAGAGCAGAGTGTGAAGTTTGTGACCTGCTAGAACCTGTCCTATTTCTTTCATCTAACAGAGTTTCTGCTTGTGTTGGTTCTCTTAGGTATTATAAGGGATCAACAGCAGAATACCAGCCTAATGAACCGATGTGCTCAAACCTGTTAGTCGTTTGCCATAGAATGTGATTTTGGTCCATTTGGTCTTTTTTTCTGGTATTTCAGCTCTTGGTGGTATTTCATTTGCAGAGAAATGCGAGAAGCAGGTGAGGTTTTTTCAGAGTGGATGTAAAAACAGCCGCAGACAGATTGACTGAATTTCCGTTAAAAAGATGGAAAAAAAAAAAGATAATACAATAAACTTGCTTGAACAACACAAACCAAACAGCTTCAGTAGAGTTTGAACAGCAAGTTAATAAACTGGATCCGCCACTGATAATACCCAGAAATCTATGGTATCATAATGTATCTTTGAATATTTCAGTGGAGGATAATCTGGGGATAAATTAGATCTGGAGGGAGAATCTGACCGTGTCAAACAGCCATCTGAAGGTCTGAGCCTGCAGACGAAGCTTCTGGGCTTCAAATGCAGCAGCTCAGTGACACCTGCTGGGCAGTGTTGTTTTTGACAGCCATCTTAGGTTTAGTCTTAGTTTTTGTTTAAGTCCAGGTTAAGTCGATTAAAACTCAAAAAGTTTTATTCTAGTTTAAATCAGTTTTATGTTGCAGTTCATAAAATAGTCCTTTACAACTTTGAATAACAACCAGATTCCTTACCAGACAAAGCTGCTGTGCGGTTTATCATTGCTTTTGGGAAGAAAACTTTGATTAATAGAATTAAAATAAACTTTTTTGTGAATTAATGCCCTATTTTATATTAAAAAAAAGTGTCCCATAAAAGTTGTGAGAATAGCAGATCTAACATATTTAACACATCATATTGGTTAAAATAGCAGACAGACAAGCTGACAAAATGTTCAATAAAGGAATGGTTTTAGACAGACAAGGTTTTCATCCAAAAGCAAACGCTTCCTGATCTACTATGAATTATGCATTACACACAATCAATCAATCGATCAATCAATCAATCTTCATTACAACAAAAAAGCAAAGAACAAAAACATTTTGACTTTATTTATAACCATTGGCCCCTTGGTTACAGCTGCTCAGGGAGCAAAGTAGATTTAAATTCATAGGGGCTTGATAGAAAAAAATTCACAGAGAACCTACAAAATTTCCTTAAAAGCCATGTAAATGCTGACCTAAATTTCAAGATTATGTTAACTAAAATGCTGAGATATTCAAAGAAAAAAAAAATGTTTTAATTAGAATAAAATGAAATATTTACAGCATATTTGAATAGATAGAAACAATAACAGAGAGCAGTATTCTATTTACATTTTTATTTGGGTCTTTATCCAAAAATAAACAGTATGCAAATAAATATTTGCTTTGGATATCATTTAGAATGTAATAGAATTCAACCTTATTGTCATTACACTGTGACAAGTACAAAGCAATGAAATATAGTTTGCATCTGTCCAGAAGTGTTACACAGGATATCAATATTTATTTACATGTGTACAGAAACTATGTACCGGTATGTATGGACTATAGATGATATATAGAAACAGAGAGTAATTGTAAGAGGCTATAAAATAGATGGGTGGCGGGGGCTACAGTGGTAATAGTTGGTGTCAGGAGGCGTTCAGGAGTGTGACAGTCGTGGGGAAGAAGCTCTTCCGGTTCCTGCTGGTTCTCGTTCCTATGCTTCTGTAGGGCAAGTGTTAGTTTGTGTGGGTTGTGTTTTTGTGTGTTTTCCCTCCACCACCAGGTGGTGCCTGGTTCTCGTTGGTCCTCTCACACACTTGCGGATGGTTGCCTCATTACCAGAGGACTCTTAAGCTGCTGACTGCCACTACCTCGACGCCAGAGTGTTTGCCAGTTTTGAGTACTCTAGTCAAACTGAGTTTTTGTCAACCTGAGTCTTAACCTTGTTGTTTTTGGTCTTTGCCTCTCGGCAGGAAGTCATCCTGCAAACTGGATGTTTTGAACCTTCTCCCCCCGGAAGGATTCTCTGAGTGCCAAACTGAGCTGAGGATTCAAACAGGAGGTTTGGATCAACTTTTCCACAAGGGATAGTTTGAGCTTCACACTGAGCAGGGGATTCATCTCCACAAGAAACCGTTCAAGTACCGCAGGAAATCTAAGTGGCAGTCCTTTTCTCCGTTCCTCAAGGAAACACCTCAACCTGGTTAAACCCTGTCCGCCCTCCAACGAGCAAGTCAATTACTGGAACAACCCACACCGACTAGATTCAGAGAAAGACACCTTTCCTGGAAACGTGAGTCCTGTTGCCTTTATTCCCCTTTCAAATCGATAAACACAAATGTCCCACTGAGCCTGAACTAACCACGGGATCTTCCCCTTCACTTTACAGTCCCGGTTCGCCAGTGTTCAGAGCAGGACTGGACCCTTCTCTACCAATTCACAATAAACCTGTCAAACCTTCCCCTGGTCTCTCTGTTTGGTTTTCTGCATGTGGGTCAGATCTTTGGATAAAATCATGACAGCAGGAGTGAGATGAGAGCGTGCAGGGTGAGTGGAGTCTTTAGTGATTTTCCCAGCTCTTTTCAGACACCACTTCCTGTAGATGTCCTTGATGGCAGGGAGCGGTGCCCCGGCGATGCAATGGTCAGTTTTCACTGTCTCTGCAACCACTCCGGGTCCGAGGTACAGCAGTTCCCATACAAAACTTTAATACAGTCAGAAAGGATGTTCTCGATGGTGCAGCACCAGAATTTTTTTAAGGATCTCTGAGGACAGCTGGATCGGACATATTGGGGTCGACTGGTTGGGAACTCAAGCAACCAGTCTGCTTAAAGCAACCAGTTGCTTCAAGTAGACTGATTCCGAGGTTTGTGAGTTTGGTAATGAGACTGTTTGGATCCAGTTGAGGTTTCTGACTTATCAGAATGATAAGCTCCGTCTAAATCTTCAACATGTTTGATTTGATTCCAATCAAATTGTTCATGGGAGTATTCCCTCTAAATTCCATCCCCGTTTTAGATATGATTAATCTATTAGGATAGGTATCACAGATATTCACAGTAGCTTTTAATCAAAATGACTTAATAAATTAAAGACCCATTTAATCTTCCTCTTTATCTAATATGTTTTGATAACAAGTGTGTGAGTACTTACATCACAATGACCTGTTTTACAGTCCGGTTTTAGAGTTAGCATAGCACTGTTCCTGTTTGGCTGTGACTCCATCCTGAAGAGAAATATCAGCTGTGCTGCTGCCATCAACACCTTTGTTTATAGATGCTGGAGTGGATGTGCTCTCTTCATCCTCTGACATGGGAGCTGGCTTAGAGCTTGTCTGCCTGGCTGTGTGTTTCCTGGACGGGGCCGCCTTTTACAGCTGCATTTTCTATCTCTGCTTCTGTCTCCTTGAACCCCAGTCGGCCTCAGCAGATGGCCGCTCACACTGAGCCTGGTTCTGCTGGACGTTTCTTTCTGTTAAAAGGGAGTTTTTCCTCCCCACTGTCGCTACATGCATGCTTAGTGTGAGGGATTGTATTTGAGTCAATGAGTAGATGCAATAAACTGGTTTTCCTTAGATAGAAAACTTTGAATCAATCTGACTGGATGATCTGGTTGAACTGTAAAGAGCCTTTAGATGACTTGTGTTGTGAATTGGCGCTATAGAAATAAACTGAATTGAATTGAACTGAAACGGCACTGCTGAGGGTCATTAATGATATTCTCATGGTCTCAGATCATGAAAATGTATCTGTTGTTGTCCTCTTAGATCTCAGTGCTGCATTTGATACAGTTGATTAAATTCTTTTAGAAAGGCTTGAATGTTTTTTGGGAATTAAGGAGCAGAACTAGATTGGTTTAAATCTTATTTATCTGGCTGAATTCAGTTTGTTCACGTTAATTTACAAACATCTTTAAACTCCAGGGTTAACTTCTAGAGCCAATTCTCTTTACTATATGCTTCCAATCAGTAATATTATCAGACAAGGTGGAACTAATTTCCGCTGTTCCTATTGTTATGGTAATCTGTAATAATTGCCTCAGCTGGGCTTTAGATTACATAATCCAAAGAAAATAACATTCCTTTGTGTGACTGTCAGAGTAATTTAACACATTCACGCTACGCCCGAAAGTACTCCTTTATCTTTATTTTGTCCTTTAATAAAACAAGAAAAATTAAATGCTGAAACTTTACTGAGCCCAAAACAAAACCTTTCAACCAGGGCAGAAAGTCTTTCTGGTTGCCATCACCAGCACAACACAAGTTATGTCATTTTTCAATTTCACTTGTATACCTAAAGGGGACTGATACTAGGGCATTTGCTCAA